ATAGTGCAACGGAAATTTGAGTTTGGTAAGACTGATTTACGTAATTATACGTAACGTTCTGCGCCAGCCGCGACAATGTAAATCAAATATAATTATATAACTAAATAAATATAAATAAAGAAATAAAACATGCAACGGAAAAATAAAGACCAATAATCGAAAAGTTCAAACAAAAATATATATATTAAAAAAAATAATTATAAGGTAGATATCCATAGTGTAGATTATTGAATGGAAATAAAAGATTATACCAGTGATACTTAATTGAAATATGTACAATTTCCACATTACTAAACTGTGCCTCGGCTCTCCATTATTTGCGCATAAATATTAAAAATGAATTAATTGCACATGATATAAGATACAAATTTTAAATAATTTATTCTCAATTAAAATATTTCAGATTCTTGAATGCTTTAAAATACATTAAAAGTCTAATTTTGAAATAATATCTTGAATTGTTATCAATATATGCACTTTCTTTACAATTTATATTATTATTAAATTAAAAAAATGGTCCTATTATTTATATTAATTATAACAACTATTTAAGATTTAATAAAAACTCCCCAAAAATAGTTTAAATGGAAATATTTTATAAAATTTGATGAATTATTTAATTACATTATCTTTTATCTTTATACGTAAATATTCATTTAAAAAAAATTGATACAAGCTAATATTTTTAAATCAAATAATGCTAAGCTTACATACTTGGGATGGTTATTGAAGACTGTTTCTAGTGTTGGTGTTTTATAATTTGCCTATATTACAATGAATTAAATTTATATAAATTATTTGGATAGTTCGACCTTGCGAATGATACCGAGGAAGTTCAATTGAGGAAAAGAGAAAAAAAGGAAAAAAAAGAAACAAAACGGCCGAGAGTGACAAAAAATTTTGAGCTTTCGGGTCAATGGTTGGTGCCTGGGAATCATTTCGTGGAATGGAGAGAGCAACGAGGAGCATGCCAATGGTGCGTTTGGTTGGCAAACAAAAAAATTTTGGATATGGATCGTAAAACGCCATATCAAAGTCAGCTTTGGTGTGTGTTGTGCAATGTACCTCTCTGTTGTAATAATAATCGGAATTGTTTTTGCGATTTTCATACCAAAAAATAAGAACTGATTTAATGGTAGACTTTTTTTTGAATTAAATTGTGTACATTTTTTTATGAATTTCTTTCAATAATCAATTATTAAAGAATAATGTAAAATTTCGAGAGAAAACGAAGAGCAAAAAAATTTTTAATTGAATATATTTATAAATAAATAGTTTTAAAATTTTTTTTTTCAAAAACTTATTTATTTTCATTTATCAGTTTATTGATAAACTGATTAAAAACGTCTTAAATTAATCTTTAAATAAAAATGCTAATTTAGCCGACCTAACTATCAAAATAACTCAAAATTTTATTATGGATAAGTCCCCATATTACATAGTAATTTTTGTTTGTTACGATATGGAGTATGCAAAACCAAATTGCCAAGAATTTTCATAAGTTTGGTCGTTCGGGATGCTTCGCGTAGCAAATTTCACATGACTAAAATTTGTGCACTTTTTTTGAGCCACATAGCAAATGTCACGATTTAGCTGCGGAGTTACCATGTGACCTACACTTCTGGGAATCACCCTAGTCAATTTGAGTTATCCCTTTTATAAAAAAATTTTTTGCAGGGGATAATTTTTCTCAATTATTTAAGCGGGCAAATTTGCCCGCTTAAATTTACGGTTTAAGGGATAATAATTAATTTCGTTGAATTTAATGATAAAATTTTTATTATTAATATATTCTTTTATTCTTTTTTTTTATTTTTTTTTATTTTATTTGTACAAGTTTTTGAATAAATTTAAAAAAATAATAACTACTATCTAGGCTAAGGGCATATGCGTAAATAAAACTCTGACCTAATAGACGAATAAAAACATTTCACATGTATTTGAATATGTGCTGAGATTTCTAATTATATAAAAATGCAAAAAAAAAGAAAAGTATCACAAATTGAACAAAAAAATAGGATGCAAGCGTCAATTAATCATTTTTAATGATGCAGAATAATTATAAGTAAATAATAATAACAATTTAACGGACAAATGCATAACCTGTCTAAATGCATAAAATCTTCCGGGTCCTAGTGTATTTTAGACGAAGTTCTTCTGTATTATGAAAGAGAGTTTTAGTATGAAAAATATCAATGCCTAAGAAGCTGTATCCTCTGAATAAATGTAATGGTTATTTATTAATCATTCTCGATTCGTGTAATATATTATTCTTATTTTAATTTCACGAAAACCCAACTTTTCGCTAATGAAATTATTTAGAAGCCTTTCGATTCTCGTGCCATAATATACTTATATTTTATATTTTTGTATTTTTTGATATTCTTGTTATTTATTTTTAATGACTAATGGGTTCTTCTAAACTATATATTATATATATATATATTATGGAAAATTAAAAAAAGAATGAATTTTTATTTAAAATTAAGTTTAATATATGCGCACGAAAAATAGAATAACCGTGATTTTAAATAAAGTTAGCTCATATATTAAAGTTATACATCGATAATTAAGAATTTTTCATTATATGTATGTTATTGTTAAAAAAATTAGACCTTCTTAACTTAATTAAATTATCTTGCGTATAATCATAATTATAGAATTTATTTTAACTTCACATTTATGTATTTTTCAAAATGAATCTCAAAATTCGTTGGATTGGAGATCCGTATTAAAATATGCCTAACCTGTTAGTATAACAATTTAAGCAAACATGTTCGCATCGCATACACAGTCGTTTGCAATATTTATATTTAATTATTAATTGAATGGGATTTTTTTATTCTATTATTTTTTGATAATTATTCATTATTATTCAACAATAACAGTGAATCATAGATTGTTAATCAATCTGAAAGTTATTCTTCAAGAAATAATATTCGAGGGAGAAGTTTATTTTGTGATTTCCAAAAAAGGATAAATTGAATTCGCTTTGGGCGAATTTCCATTTTGAGCGAATTCTTTAAAGCAATTCTGTAGAACCGGAGAAAATGAGATAAAGCCAATAAAGGTTTTATATTCATAGTTTGATTAACGCTCTTTTAAATGCATTTGATTTTAGGAACAATAATAGATGGAGGAAATGGGACTTTTAATCTGTTTACAGTTTTCAGTAATTTATCCTCGGTACATCAGCTTCAGGCTCAAGGGATACTTCCGAATCAGAAGCTATAAATTGATAGTAAACTCTTAAGTTTAATCAAATTATTTATTGAGTTTATTCAGGGAATATATTATCATGATTACAAATATCAGGAATTTTAAAATCATTCTGTCGTGAATCTAAATAAATATTTAATATAAATTTTAGCTGTTGGTTGATTTTTAAAAAGCTCTGGAATTATTCCATACATTTAAGATTTTCTTGAACTGATTGGCTAAATCTCAAATCAGAAATAAATGCTAGTCACAAAAATAAAGGATTCTTAAACTTACTAAGTGTACCATATTCAAGCATCGTATGTTTGGAAAAATGTTTACTTGTATAAATTGCTTCAGGATGCATTTTACTTGGATCAAATTGAATAAAATTTTCGTTCAATTTATTTGCTGCTTTAATTTGTTCTTCTAGTTCATCATTATCTTCATCATTATAATTAAGATATTTGCTAAGCTGGATTTTAAATTTTTCAGCAGTTGGACGTTTGAGAGGCTCAATATTCCAACATTCTTCCATTAAACCTTTGAGCAATTGAGGAATTTCACACTTAATTTCAGGTTTAAGTCCTTTGCAAATTGAATCTATAAGACTATGATCATGTTGAATATTATAAAATGGCGGATAACTAGTAAAAACTTCTAACATGATCATGCCCAAAGAATACATGTCAGATTCTTGAGTATATTTTTTTCCATTCAATATCTCAGGTGCCAAAAATGAAATTACCCCATAAATTTCTGAATTTTTTTCAGAAATTTGCTTACATAGCCCAAAATCTGTGATATACGTTTTAGTTAGAGTATCATTAACTATGTTACCGGAATGCAAATCTTTATGCACGAAATGATTCTTATGTATTTCAGAAAGACCTTCTGCAATATGAAGTAAAATGCTAATTTTGTCATGCCAGTTCAATTCTTTGAACCTGTTACCCAACATTTTTCGGAGACTACCTTCTAATGCAAATTGCATTACCATCATATATTCATTTTTGTTTGGATCTTTAGTAATACCATATAATGCAATTGCCCATTGACCTCGAAATTTAAGTTGATTTTCAATCTAAAATATTAAATCAGATTAATAAAATAAATTTTTGTTTAATAAGAATATAAAATAGTTACCTCTTGCAAAAATACACTTATATTTCTGTAATCATTAAGATTTTTTAAGCACACATATCGATTCTGTGATCCCCTTTTCCAGCCTTTTTTGTTATCATCCCAAGATACAATATAACCATCAATCCATTTTGCCTTATAAACAGTGCCAAAACCTCCCTGAGTAAGGTATTCGACGTTCTCAAGTCTGTCAAATGGAATCCATTCAATAACTTCGCCATATTTTTCTGCTTTGTGTTGCATTTGCTGAATAAATTTATCAATCTCTATATTTCCACTTTTCCATTTGTCAAATTCTCTTTGAAATTGTTCGGAATTACACCTATTGCACCAATTTCTTCCAGTGTTGATTCGCGAACATTTCGCACACTTACCATTTCTGTTTCTAAAAGATATTATTGGTAATAATTATTATGAAATTTTCCATAGCATTAACTTGAAACATTGATCGTTATAATAACAAATCTCGATACTCACAATCTGTAATATTATATATGTAATTAATTGATTAGAGAATTGTTATTTAAAATTGAATTAAATTTAAACTTTGATTTCAACAATTATGAATCTAAATACTCACAATCTGTAATATAATATATATGAAATTAATTAATAATTGATTAGAGAATTGTTATTTGATATTTTATTAAATTGAAACTTTGAATTAATGGATCGTTAATCCAAATACTCACTCTCTGCAATATAATATATATGTAATTAATTAATAATTGATTAGATAATTGTTATCTGATATTGAATTAAATTGAAACTTTGATTCCAATGGATCACGAATCTAAATACTCACTTTCTGTAATATATATTTATGTAATTGATAATTGATTAGAGAATTGTTATTTAATATTGGAACCATGAATTCAATAATTATTAATTCATATACTCACGCACTGTAATATGAAATAAATGTAATTAATTAATAATTAATTAGAAAATTATTTTAATATTGAATTGAATTTAACATTAATTCAAATATCATGAATCTAAACGCTCACATTCTGTAATATTTGAGATATTAATTGATAATTGATTAGATTTGTTATTTGATATTGAATTAAATTTGAACTTTAAGAATTAAAGCACTTACTTTCTGTAATATAATATGATTATTGATAATTGATTAGAGTTGTTATTTGAGATTGAATTAAATTCAAACACTTAATACTCACTTTCTGTAATATAATATATTTACGTGATTAATTGATAATTGATTAGAGAATTGTTATTTAATATTGAATTAAATTGAAACTTTGATTTTAATGAATTGTGAATCTAAATACTCACTTTCTGTAATAATATTTGAGATATTAATTGATAATTGATTATAATTATTTGATATTGAACTAAATTCAACATTAATTTCAATGGATTGTGAATCTAAATACTCACTTTCTGTAATATAATATTAATATAATTAATTGGTAATTGATTTGAGTTAGTTATTTGATATTGAATTAAATTTAAATTTTGAATTCAATAATTATGAATCTAAATACTCACAATCTGTAATACAATTAATTAATAATTGATTAGAGAATTGTTATTTGATATTGAATTAAATTTAAACTTTAATTTCAATGGAATATGAATCTAAATACTCACAAACTGTAATATAATATGTAATTAATTGATAATCGATTAGAGAATTGTTATTTGATATTGAATTAAATTTAAACTTTGAATTAATGGATAGTGAACCTAAATACTCACACACTGTAATATAATATTTATTTAATTAATTAATAATTGATTAGAGTTGTTATTTGATATTGAATTAAATTTAAACTTTGAGTTCAATAATTATGAATCTAAATACTCACAATCTGTAATGTAATTAATTAATAATTGATTAGAGAATCTTTATTTGATATTGAATTAAATTCGAATAATTATGAATCTAAATACTCACAATCTGTATGTAATTAATTAATAATTGATTAGAGAATTGTTATTAAATTTAAACTTTGATTTCAATGGAATATTAATCTAAATACTTACAAACTGTAATATAATATGTAATTGATTGATAATAGATTAGAGAATTGTTATTTGATATAGAATTAAATTTAAACTTTGATTTCAATAATTATGAATCTAAATACTCACAATCTGTAATATAATATTTATGTAATTAGCTATTTGATAAAGAATTAAATTGAAACATCAAATTTATTAATTATGAATATAAATACTTACACACTGTAATATAATATTTATGTGATTAATTGATAATTGTTAAAGAATTGTTATTTGACATTGAATTAAATTGAAACTTTGATTTTAATGATTATGAGTCTAAATACTCACAATCTGTAATATAAAATATGTAATTAATTGATAATTGATATTGAATTAAATTTAAATTTTGATTTCAATAGTTATGAATTTAAATACTCACAATCTGAAATATTTATGTATTTAGTTGATAGTTGTTATTTGATATTGAATTAAATTTAAACTTTGATTTTAATAATTATGAATCTAAATACTCACAATCTGTAATAATTAATTAATTGGTAATTGATTAAAGTTGTTATTTGATATTGAATTAAATTTAAACTTTTTCAATAATTGCGAATCTAATTATGAATCTAATTACTCACAATCTGTAATAATTAATTGATAATTGATTAAAGTTGTTATTTGATATGGAATTAAATTTAAACTTATTCAATAATTATGAATCTAAATACTCACAATCTGTAATATAATGCATGTAATTAATCGATAATTCATTAGAGAATTTTTATTAGATATTGAATTACATTTAAACTTTGAATTCAATAATTATGAGTCCAAATACTCACGCACTGTAATATAATATTTATGTAATTAATTGATAATTAATTAGAGTTGTTATTTGATATCGAATTAAATTTAAACTTTGATTTCAATAATTATAAATTTAAATACTCACAATCTGTAATATAATATTTATGTTATTAATTGATAATTGATTAGAGTTGTTATTTGATATAGAATTAAACTTAAACTTTAAACTAAATAATTATGAATCTAAATACTCACACACTGTAATATTATATATATGATATTTATGTAATTAATTAATAAATGATTAGAGAATTGTTATTTGTTATTGAATTGAATTTAAACTTTGATTTCTATAATTATGAATTTAAATACTCACAATCTGTAATATAATATTTATGTTATTAATTGATAATTGATTAGAATTGTTATTTGATATTGAATTAAACTTAAACTTTAAACTCAATAATTATGAATCTAAATACTCGCAATCTGTAATTAAATAATCATTGATTAGAGAATTGTTATTTGATATTGAATTAATTTAAACTTTGATTTCAATAATTATGAATCTAAATAATTACAAACTGTAATATAATATTTGTATTATTAAATGATAATTGTTAGAGAATTGTTATTTGATATCGAATTCGAATTAAATTGAAAATTTGATTTCAATAATTGTGAATCTAAATACTCACAATCTGTAATATTATATTAATGTAATTAATTGTTAATTGATTAGACAATATTTATTTGATATTGAATTAAATTGAAACTTTGAATTCAATATTTATGAATCTAAATACTCACTTTCTGTAATATAAAATTTATGGAATTAATTGATAATTGATTAGAGAATCGCTATTTGATATTTAATTACATTTAAACTTTGATTCTAATAATTATGAATCTAAATTCTCACAATCTGTAATATAATAATTGATTAGAGAATTGTTATTTGACATTGAATTAAATTTAAACTTTGAATTTGATAATTATGAGTCTAAATACTCACTTTCTGTAATATAATATTTATGCGATTGATTGATAATTGATTCAAGAATTGTTATTTGATATTGAATTAAATTGAAACTTTGAACTCAATAATTATGATTCTAAATACTCACTCTCTTTAATATAATATTTATGTAATTAATTTATAATTGATTAGAGTTTGTTATTTGATATTGAAGTAAATGAAATTTTGATTTCAATAATTATGAATTTAAATACTCACTCTCTATAATATAATATTTTTGTAATTAATAATTGAAATAATTGATTAGAGAATTATTATATGATATTTAATTACATTTAAACTTTGATTTCGATAA